AATTAACTGGAAAACCCGAATCTAGATATGAAACCAATAAAATCTTAAAATAAAAAACCAAAAAGAGTCGAAGCTCATTATTTTGCTTTGATTCTTGGGTTTGGAGGCTTGTGCGGCCTCATACCTAAACTTTATTTGTCTTACAATACAGTTCATGAACACTGAGATAGAGAAGAAACAAGTGGCAGAAGACATGAAGGAGAGGGAAAACAACGTCCAGTTACATTCCATCCAGAAAAGCTCGCCGAAATTAGTGCCGATGGATTTGCCCTAACAAGGAGAGTTTCATCGATGGTGTTTATAGGATCTGACATGGTAGGAAAGAGTAGATCGTGCTCGATAAAATAAATTTTGATTTATTTGTTTAGTAATTTTGGTTGATTGAAATGTATTTTAAGGTTGGAGATGAGTATGTAGAAGTTTCTAGATGATTTATGGATATTTGGCGTGAAAAATGAAACAAAATGGATTATGGGGACCAAAACCAACAACCCTTGATCTTTCAATGATCAAAACGACATCAGAGTTATCACAACAAGCAAGGTGTCATTCACTGGTGGATGACGCGGTGTCCCGTATTTCTTCTCACCCCCACCTGGGCCACAAGTATGGGCCAAGCATCCCACATTCCCACCACCCAGGCCTAACGCAGCTAAGCTTCTTCAATCTTTTTTTTGTGTGTGTTTCTAATATATTTATATTTTTTTAATATTTTAATTCTCTAGAATTAATTCCTGTATGAAACTTTATAATGTTTTTCTGATGCATTTTGCTTAATGCGTGTCCTTATAACTATTTATGGTTTACCATAACATTTTCGAAACAAATGTTGAAAAGGTTAGCATAGCACCCAAATTTATTTTATGGAGTTTGTTCTCTAGCTTCTAAATTTTTAAATATTCCCTATAACACTTGAATTTCCTGGGATTTTACAGTGAATAGAGGGATTGAAAAGGACGTAATTAAAGCTTGAAATATTTTATTTTTAATCTTGGCAAATCATATTGATTTTTTTATAAAATAAATAATTTAAAAATCAAAGCCTAAATAAATAATAATATTATCATCAAAAATGGTTTTTTAATCCGAGAAAACAAATAAAGAAAGAATAGAGGTTGGAAACATTTTAATTAATTAAAGACACCAGTTTCATAATCATCAATAATTTCATAACCTTGGCTTAAGAAAGATGAGAACTATTTTTCTACTCTGGAGCTTTTTTTTATCTTCATTAAAAATCAACGAAAATTCTTTGCCATGGGCATTCATGCTGGTTGATGATGCTGATAGCAAATTTTTATATATTTTAAAAAAAGGCATTATAAACCAAAACAATGTCTTAATTATTTTTTAAATTATTGAAAGGATAGGAGATACACTATATTAATTATTTTTTAAAATATTTTTTACTTAAAAATATATTTAAAAATATTTTTTATTTAAAAAATTATTTTTAACATTAATCAACACCTCAAAATTAATCCATGAACATAATCTATCGGCATAGAAAACAAAAATTTAAATATAAAAAATTTAGTAAATCATTGTTCGGAACTCGGTTCCGAGCTACCTACTAAGTAGCGTGTGTAGGCTTGCTTTTTCTTGTACCATGCTATTTTTTACTCTATTTTTTAGGATCACTTCTTGTGCTTTGATCCTGCTACCCAGACCTCTCACCAACTACCCAGTTCGATGCCCACTATTGATCACCACTCCCCAACCTTAGGAATCCCTCTTCTTCCCGTGGGACCCTTGTAAGTGGACACAACTCGCTATTCAAACAAGCAAGCAATGAACGGCGTTCAAGCTGTTCAAGATTTGTTCGAATGTCTCTTCAAGAAACATGCGCGGTTTCTTTTGAAACGTAGCTTCAGGCCACCAATTAAGGAAAAACCCCACCACACCAAAACAATCCAAAGTTTATTAACCAAGCTGGGACATGATCAGCAATACAAGACAAATAAGTAGAGAGAGTCATAAGCAAGTCAAGTAATCCATCACTAACAAAAGGGTGACTAACGAAATAACCTAGCAGTTTCTAGATAGACTAAGACCTAAAAGTCCTTTGACAGGATATTCACAACTTCATGTCGACGTATTCTAGCAAGCAAGCATCAAACAAACTTCACCTCAATTTCCGACAAACAGCAGCATTAAGGGTGCTTTGACTCTGCTCAAAACACCACTTAGCCTTCTGCAGCTGGTTTAGCCACGGGGACTTCACACTTAGATGGCAACTGCATTAAGCCAGAAAAGCTGTGTCAGGTGATTAAAATCAAGATTCCCTCACACAATGGACAGTCTCCTAATTCTGTGACAGAACACGGATTTATGGAGAAATATTAATCCTGCTAATAGATATTCCCATACTATCTATATTCTGTGTATGAATTGCCAATATAAATACTATATGACAGGGATGGCTTATCAGCACCATTCTTTTTCTGTAGTTTTTTTAAATTTTTACACCTTAACTTATACATTTACTGTAGCCACAGGTCAGTATTTATGTACTTGGTATGCAACCCAAGGCAGCTTAAGTTACTGAATGAAGATGAAAGCAATTCTGTTCCCCAACCCAAAACAAAGCACATACAGAACCAAATTATTGAAGAAGAAGTAAATGCGCAATGCTATGCTCCTCATAGCAGTCCATTTCATAAAGACATACAAGGAAAGGATAGCTTTAAAAAGATTATGTTCATGAATTATGGAATATGTTTCCACAATAACAAAACCACATTCAGACCATTAAACTTAAAATTCTGACAGTTGCAGAAGACATTCCTATAACAAACAGGACAGTAGCAGTGGGGCAAACTAGATAAATAAGCAGAAGCAGAATTAGCCTGTCATATGTTCATCAGTTTCAAAAGTTCCACTTCTAACTGAAATCAAATGGAAATGAACCTTTCAATGAATAAACTGCATCAATAGAAGTTCTAGATTTTTAGTAGCCATTAGTTTAGCTGGGGCTCTTTTCAAATCTGCCCCTGAACAAACTAAGGAATTTTCAGCTAAGCAAGTTAAGGTGCACTGGATGTCCCAATCTAAGGCAACACAGGAACGAAAATTATAACATACCTTGCCTTGAAGACTTGTAATTGTCGACTTCAGTAAAGCATCTCCAACAATCAACCTCAACTTCTTGACAAAATTCTCCCTGCTTATCTTCTTCTCCTGAAAAGGAAAACAAAAGGTGATCACCTAATCATGATAAACATTTGAATTAGAACGGAAGATAACAGCAGAGCATGCCATTTTACATACCCTGAACAGTTCATAATGGTTAGTTATGAGTTCCATGTCTTTGCTTGGAACTTTACTTGAAATCACAGCAAACAACATAGGAAAAGGCATCCATGGAGATTTAGGGGTTCTTGTATTGCTTGAACTCAGACTTGGTGATTTTCCAAGAGATCTCCCAGAACCCGAAACTGGTTGAATTTCACTTCCCTTGAAGATGACAAATGTTGACTGTTAAGTAGCTCAGGCACAATTATAAACATACATCAGGAGCCAAAAGCTCCATGTGAAACTAGTCAACAATACTAAATTAGTAATCTTGTCAAATAAGACATATGATGTCCAGGCAACCATGTCCATATACTCTAGCTTGTTCGTGTCAATGTAAGGAACTGTTTGATTGCCTTATAATATTTAAACAGTTCATCTATCATTCTAGCTTGCACAGTTCAAAACCAAAAGTATAGTCGATATGCTTTTAGTTCTTCAAATACCATCTACCCCTTATAATTACCAATAGTAAAAGCCTTCTCAGTCACACTCCTTTTTCAAGGTATGTACTAATCCGCAACAGTCGCTGTTATTTCCAGATCTTCTCATTGCACAGGCAGCTCTATCTTAGACTCAAGTTTAGGAGTATTAACTCTAAACCATTGAACTTTCATTTCATATTTTATCATTTCTGTTGCATAAGGTCAGTTGTCTTTTGTCTAAAATTGACCATACTTTTGCAGGTAAATGAAGAAACATGCATCTCTCCAAATAGAACAAGCAGAACCAACATCAAATTTTCACCTGCTATGTATTGCATAGTAAACAATGGATAAAGAAACCCAACAAATATACATAAAAAAGGATAGTGCCAGAACAATATTGGTACCCATACCATATCAGCAGCAGGGGACTCATTAAGATCAACTGCAGAAGACTCTACAGGTACATTCAGATCAACTGCAGGGGACTCAACTGGTAAACATCCCTGACCTCCATGAGAAGAAGTGGTCACGCCAGAAACAGAATGCTTACTCTCACTCCCAACCAGAAACCCTGCAGAAAAAACACAAGGTACTATAGCAAAGTGCTAAAAAAGTTCCAAAAAGAAAATCAGAGGTATTCATACAGCATCTGCAGATAACGCTGCTGACAAAGTCATTGAATCAATGCTTGACAAGTTGATTGATCTCATGAATGTAATAGAACCCAGCCAAAAGGATATTTCCCCATCATGGATGAAACCTCATCTTAAAGCTAGCATCCTTTTAAATTTCAGCATCAAAGGAGGATGGACTGTTGAAATGGCACTTGTTTCCAACCACCAGAATACATTGGCCATGCTCCATCCAACAAATCACTAATGATTGAGTAGCACACATCCAACAAGAGCAAGGATTTCATTCAAATCCTAGAAGACATCTATATATTTATATGCCATACATGCGTGCATGTGTGTGTGTGTTGAAATTGTTTGTGCCAAAACTGACACCTCTAGAGGTAGTAGCATATCACCTTCTGAGTTGGGAGTGAACTTGAAACTAACAACGAACTCTGGATAAATGTGGGTGTTCATATTCATATTCCAGACTATATACTCTCTTGGATTTTCAAGATCATCCACTCCACTATCAAAATCCTCACTACTGGGATGGAACTGTCGGCTCCCGTGCTGAAGAAGCTCCATATTTCCCATTATTACACGACAAAATACCAAGTGCCGCACTCCATTTTCGTCAACATCACAATAATTTGCACTGTAAACAAACCAAAAGTTGAATCCACCTCAATAGCGCACAGTATTAAAAAGAAAAGGAACCTCAATAGTAAAAACAAAGTTAAAACCAATCATATAATCAACTATCACAAAAAAGCATCACATGCACTTCTCAAGGCAGGTGGCACATTGTAAAGGCAGCAAAACATGGAAATATCTTTTAAGTAATTCTTACTACAAAAGGTTTGAAGAAGCATTTCCAGGTAACACATGGCATTGATCTGGATTAAACCGTTTAGGGAATAAATAAATCAAACTCTTCTTTTTCAGAAATTTTTAACAAGAAAAACACAAACCAGGAAACTCCGCACTAATATAATAGATGGAAGATATGCGAAACGCATTAAGTTATAAACAAAAAAATCATGTGCATCTTCATACTTAGCAAATGAGAAGACTAAAAAATGAAGCTTTATCAGTGTTCATGATACAGTCTTCAAAAGAGAGGATTAATAAGCAGCTCCTGATAACAACCCTATTATAAGTAATTTGGCTACATCTAATAAGATAACTGTATTGAACAATAAAAGAATTCGTAGCAACACATAATTTTATAGCATTGGTACATGAATAGCATGGAAAGTTTAGCAATCTCCAAATTAACTTTCCAAAATCAGACTGACAAGCAAAAGAGCTCTTCTTTTAAAAGAGGAGGACAATTTTCTAGCCAATCTAGAGCTACTGTCTAGAAGAAAGTGAACATTTTACCTTAAAAAACTTAATTCCCTGTTTAATATGATGATCTACTGGTGTTATAGTTAGAATACAGCTGGCTTTTCCCACACTAGATGAAATGATAAAACAGGAAAAACATCCAACCTGGTGTGACAAAAGTTTGCTGCAGAGAGATGAACGCCAATGCCATGTTCGGACTTTGTTGTGCATGGCCCACAATGTCCAAGCCCATACGACATAATAGTGGAGAGCGCTCCTTTGGAAGAAGCAAGCCAAGCATATCGAACATTTGCATCTCCACGATATTTCACTGTTAGTTCAATCTGCTTCTGGAAAAGCTCAAATCGAACTGGCATTGAATTACTAGAGCAGCGAGAAATATCTACTATGTCTGCACCACCAAAAGGGTTCATACTTGTAACAAAGATCTTCTTCACAGTATCAGAATCCAACATTGGCGTAAAAGATTCAGTCCCAGTGACTAAATTTGCTTTAATCTGTTGATTTTCCTCATTAGATTCAACAATTTTTTCACCAGTCTTCCTCTTGTAACTATCCCCCACTTCTACAAGATGGTGGTCGCTCGTAGGCTTTTGAGCAATTTGGATATTCTTGACAAGACCATTTGACTCTCCACTACACTCCAACTTTGACTGATCCCCTCCGTTTATATCAATTTCAAGCTGCAGCTTGATCTCATGGGACCCAAGGGGCTCCCTAAAAATGGACCCTTGATCTTTCACACAATCATGCTGGCAGCAAAGATACGGTTCATCTTCATCAGCATAGCTTTCTGGAAAGAAGCAGCCACCTGCTTCATCAATCCAGGCAATTGGTTGCTGAATACCTGTCTTCATGTCCATTCGCAACATGTGCAAGAAGTCGATAACATAGCGGCGGCCCTCCAACTCAACCTCAACAACTGCCTTCTTCCCCTGAAGATCTTTCCTAACCAAAGTAACAAGATCCTTAGGGAAATCAGTCCATTCCTCATTCTGATAACACATCAGACGCTGTGGCACCCCAGTCCTCATGAAGTTTGAGTAGCACCGAAGTAAAGACCGTCTAGAAGAGTGCCCACAGCTCCAAGGCTTGCTCTGGCTTCCGTCCAGTTTCTTGCGTTTCCCTGGCATATGGATTGAATTCGGAGTATGCCATTCAGGCAACACCATATGAGAAGCACCAGAAAAATATGCTGCAGAGCGGGATGCTTGTTTTCTCTTCACCCCAAGCATAACTCTACGACTATCCAACACCTTTGCGATCCTGGCTTCCATTTCTACCTACTATATTAATTCTTATCAAGAACTTTAAATCCAAAAGTTCAAAGCTAAAAAGAAGCAACAAAACTAGCCTCCAACCAGTTTCAAAGACACGATGCCATTGAAGATGACTGGCAAATCCTGGATAACAAACATTTGTCAGGAAATTTGATCACATGTAAAATCCACACGGCACCACATTATACACAAAAGATACAGATCTACAAACCAATTCACGCACAAGGATGCAATCAATCCAGTGTGATACATATACCAGTAAATGCCACATTGTTAAGCAAGTAGCAAATCACTTTGGTCCTCTTTACCTGGAAAAGCACATAGTTTTGGATCTCGAAGCAGAAGAACAGAAGCCAGAGCACTTAAAACAGTTCAACATCATAGTCTAACTAAATGGACAACCATTGTGATTGATGAAATGGAGAGGAGAGCATGTTATGTTATCTACCTTAAAAAGGTACAATCTGCTTTGAGGAGCAATAATCAATATATAATTATGACAACTATCTTCATTCAAGCAACATATATTCTACAAAATAAATACTTCCCATGTAGTCTCCTAACCAGAACCAATTTTCATTTGAAGAATAACCAAAGGGAAGTTGTACAAGCCACTCCTAATACATGTCGAAGTAATAGTAACCTGCTTTGATGCCTATAGCAAATGAGAGACTCCGCATGCAGTCTTCTACCCTAAAACAACTTTCACTCAAAGACTAACCGCATGGAAGTTGCAGTAACTGTTCCCTAATATATATAGATATCTGCTAGTAACTTGCCTCCACACCTATAACAAATGAATTATCGATTCATTAAACAATCACACTTCAAATTTACAAAACAAGTTGACTACAGGAGGATAGAAAAGAATAATTAGGATCAACTAATTCAATAAAGAATTAGTGCCTTCAGACAGCTTTATTCTTCTGGCCAACAACACAAGAGGTCATAGCTCTTACCACAAAGATAACCGAAGATAGTGTTTCCTAGAACTGGATGTATACTCAGAGGCAGTGAAGAAGTTCTAGTCACTGAACTGGAAAGCCTAATTGAACAACCAAACAGATACTTTTAAGACTAGAAATATTTGGTTTTTGTACTCCAAAATATTAGACAAAAGCAAGCAAAGCTAAGAGTGAAATAAAAGTCACCTTTTTATTATTTTTATCACAGCTCAAACCACACATGTTGATAGCTTTGAGCATACAAGTTTTACCTATTTCTTTATCACAAATTAAATCACATATGAGTCAAGACTATCCACCAACAAAAGGGTTTAGTCAAATGAACCAGTGAGTTTCAAAGAAATGAAGAGCCAGATGTGTCGCAAATGCTTGGGATTGCACACAGCTGGTAGAGCAGAGGACTGAAAATGTTACAGCAGATTTGTTCTATAACATGCATTGGTTCAAGGAACAGCATGCTAAAAACTTTCTGTAAGAACATTGCATGGAAACCTTTCCGTTGACCATGACACTTTCTTTTAACTTGGTATTTTTGAGGCTGCTATTTTGAACGCTGTCAGAATATCTCCATTCACATGGTCAATAAATGAACAACTTCCAGATTTTTCAGGTTTCATTATGGTTTCTCAATTATATAAGAGAAGCCTGGCACAAAGGGTTTCTAATAAAGAAATATACTGAATGAAGAACATGCCATAGAAGTATAAAACACTAAGTTCCCTGAAAACAGCATAAAATGCCAGCAGAAATGCTTACATAATAGATTATTGACAAACATGCATGGTAAACATTGTGAGACCTGTAGCAGAAAACTTTTCCATGCAAATATTGCCACTACTCACATCAAGAAGAAATATAATTCCAAAAAAAATGCTCGCATAAAAAAGAGATTTCAGATTTCAATAACAAAGTGTTGACAAAGAATCAAGAGAACAATTAGATGGACATAATAAGCAAAAAGAAAGACATACCTAATAATAATACTGTTGTTACTGTTCATTCTGTACATGTTCCCCTTCAATATAATCGAATCAAAATTACAGATGTAGCCACTTTGTTATTTATTTTACTGCCTTGAGTAGCTCCGCTCCTATACAATCGAAATAACAGCGCACAAAACCCTTACTTCAAATTCCAATAACTGATTTTCATTTCAACAGGGGGGAATACGCAATTGCATGCGCACACACTCGTATTCTTATATTTGGAGTCTCAATTTAAGTAGATAATCGTGAATTTAATTCAGTATATTTGCTTGCTCAACCAAAAAATTCAACTTTTCAGTTATTTGAAATACATAATCACAGCAAAGCACAATTAATTATTGGAAAAACACAAAACCCTTGCTTCAAATTCCAATAACTAATTTGCTTTTCAACAGGGGGGCATACACACTTACATGAACACACTCGTATTCTTCTATTTGGAGTCTTAATTTAAGTAGATAATCACGTATTTAATTCAGTATATTTGCTTGCTCAACCAAAAAATTCAACATTTCAGTTATTTGGAATACATAATCAAAGCAAAGCACAATTAATTCTAACGAAAACAAATTCAATTCATCTTCTTGTAACCAAAAAAACCAGAACCCAAATCTTCCATACAACTCAGCCACAGCCCCTATGTTTTTCAATATTTTAGTCAAAATTTCTCTTAATTTTTAGAGTATTATGAATTAAAAACTAAATCAAAGCAAGGAAAAAAAATATCTAAAGGATTAATGATTCAACTCCAAAGAAACAAACAGATCATAACCCCAAAATCATCTCAATTTTTTTTAAAAAGTAATATTAACCTTTTTTAAGACTCTTGACCTTGATCTACCTCGATCACACAATTTTTCACAAAACAAAACTTTCAACCTCGAAACCATCAAAACCCTAATCCAAGGTGAAAAATAAATTCCACAGGTAACAAAAGAAATCCTCAAAATCAACTCATAAAACTCACATCAATCAACAAAACAAACTAGAAAAAACAGATAAAAGTGAAAATCAAACCCGATCTACTCAATTTTCTCTCAAGATCAAAGAATCATAACAAGGGAAAAGGACGGGAGAGAGAAAATAGAAACAATATTACCTGTAAACGATACATAGAGACTGATTACTTTGATCTAGCGAGGTTTGATTTTCTAAATTTCTGTAAGGACATAAAGAGAAAGATCGGTGCGCTTATCAGACAGAGAGAAAACCCTAACTCACTAGAAGAAGAACAGTACAATTATACGACACCGTTGATGAGCCTAAGAGAAACCTTGGCGTTGACGGGGTAATAGTTTTTAAGTCGGCGGTCCTTTTTGGTTTTCTGTGGTCCTCTCTCGCTCTAATGAATTGAATCAACTCACCGCCCTGCTGCGCGTGTCTTTAATTTCCTTGCGCGGAAAGCAAGAAAGACCACTCAAAATGCCCCCCAACGTTACTTGGAGATATAATGTTAGGGCTACGTGGTGTTTGAAAGTTGTTGTGTGTCGGCTTATTTTAAACTAAGGAAAGGGTGAGATGTGATGAGTAGTTATGTCGGGGTTGAAAAGGGAGTTGAATTATTAACGAGGGTAGTCTCGGAATACGAGATTAAGAGGAGGGTGGTGTTGGGATTTTAATGAAAAATAGGTGGGTCCCACGGCGTCGAAGATAATTTTGCCAGATGTGTTTCATGTCAATCTTTCTTTTCTTGATGCCAACGGAATGATAAAATAATAAATAAATAAACAAATGAGGGGTACGTGCCGATACGGTCTTGGCACAACGGTCGGTGGGGTTCCTCCTGACACCCAGTTTCAAAATAAGCTGCTAGTCTTCTCTTTACAGAACAAAAATGGAGATTATTATTTTCGAAATATATTTATTTAAACATGAACCCAGTCCCTTCGATGGACGGCT